GCTCATCCGCGCATCTCTACACTACAGTGACCTGGGTCACCAGTAGCAAACAATGGAGCGCGCTCTGCTTGACAAACTAAGCAATTGCACCATTCAGAAGCATTTAATCTGCGTTATGTGCTGTAAAAAAAAATTAATATCTGCGGCATATTCGCCGATACCGATATATCGGCGACAGGCTCATATCGGCCAATAATATCGGCTAAATGATATATCGGTCGGGCTCTATTCGTGACACATAAACAGGTTTTGCCAGATATTACTAGGGGGAAAAAGCCCATATTAAGCCTCTTAAGGTTTTTGTTTGTCCAGGAAACAGGCATAAAGAGTTTATCAATTTTTTTCCTACACCCCATGACGCTTTCAGTGAATTGTGGGAGTAACTTCCACAGAAGTGTAAACAATCAGATACTACCAATAAACTTGTTTAATGGTTGGCTCTAATAATGCCACATATAAACAAAACCTGGTACAATGCGAGAAGATAGATAAGGTTATGTTTTAAATATTTAAAATGGGAGATTCTTAGTGCATTAGTGAATTATTCATGAGATATTGTTCATTAAATCAGGACAGCAAACCACAAGACAAGAGCACAGTGTCTTTTTTTTTTGTCTTTTTCGTATTGTTAAAGTGGGAAAATAAAAGAAAATAATCAGAAGGACAGAACACACAGAACTTAACAGTGGTCTTGAAACTGATATTCTTGTGATATCTATGTCCTGTTAGATAAAAATATAGAATGACGAAAAATGTACAGCTCATTCAGTCAATCTGACAGATAAGGATTATTTGTAGCGCACCCTTAATGTGAGGGACAGAATTTAGGTTTACAGAAACTCATCTTCCTTCTGCTTCAGCTGTCAGTCATTCTCCGCTCAGCATTCAAACAGCACGTCACATTCAGTTATGACGGTCAGCACAGTAAAACTCTCTCCAAGATGATATATTACCATTATAATACTTTGTGTAAGGAAGGAAGGAATTATCACAAACAGAAAGATTATTAGAAGCCTTTCTTTTTCTCATGATTTCTATCTTATATTCATGAATGTATTTTGTAAGAATACAAATAGTTAACAGAATAAACATGTTTAAATTGTATAATGTGCACCAAAGTTTTTTTTTCAAGATATTGTTTTTGATTCTGTTTTTATGACTGGATTCCGCGATTCCGTCCATGTTTTCTGCGTTGTGGAAATCATTGGGCCCTACTAATGTAGCAAACGAATATGATAAGCTCATTGTGAGAGTAAAAGACGGGGACAATTTTGTTTATTTACTTTTATTTACGTTGAGTCTCTCCAACTAGGTGGCAACGTAGCGTTAAATCACCATTCAACAGACTCAAGCCACCGACGCACTGCTGTCTATTGAAATGCAGAAAGATACAAACTTTACAATCTGCTACGTTACTGACTGTACTGACGAACTATGCTGACACCGTGTCTGCGCCGCAACAGGACGCGACTTCTACACTGGACACGAGCGGCGCGACAAAATACAATAGAATTCTATTGTATTTTGTTGTGCCACATGGTGTGATGTGACCGATGTGATGAGCATGAGTTCTGGGCCGCGGTGCGGCCGGTATAAGCATTGACCGAGTGGCCGCGATCAGCTCCGATGGCCGTAACACAGGCTTTAATGCGCCGCAGACGTGTGCCATGATGCGCAGATCAGCTCTAGTCTCTAACGTCACTGAATCTGCTGTTAAAAATGAGCCATCTATTCATCATATCATCATGCAAAACTAATAATTAGAATTAGGAATGCTCCGATCAGGATTTTTGCAGCCGATACGGAGTACCGATTTCTTGTCATGGTGATCGGCCGATACCGATGCCGATTCTGATGCTTCAAGCTTTATATAGACAGTTTCATCGGGCACACGCGCCTTGCCCAGCCCGAAGTTAACTTCTGGTCAATGTTTGTTTATCAGTCTGGCTATGGCACCAGCTACAAACGCAGTTAAAGTTAAGGTGATGAATAGACTGAAGTTGGGCTCAGGTGGTTGTGCTGTGTGATGTGTTTCCCATACATTTATATTTATTATCGCCACAATATCAAAACTGACCGATTTTCCAAAAGGCTTCGTTGAATAAACATGAGCACGTACTGCACATTTAAAAATCAAAACGAGGCGCGTGTTTTTATATCACTGTATTTCTGAAGGAAGACTA